CTATCGGTCAGCCAGTTATTGGGTGTAGGAAGGGTTCGATTATAACCAACTTGGCCTCGTGTGTTGTTATGTGTATGAGGGCTGGCGTCACTTCCCGGCTGCCCACACCTTGGAAGGGTATTTCTTGAGGAACCTGAGTAGGAAGTTGGATTATTGTTGATCTTAATCTAGGAGCGTGATCGCAGAGCCCAAGGGACAACTGCTTTTGGCCGACCACACTCAGCCTTTTTTGGGAAGTTTTTAAGGTGTTAGCTCCGTTCTTCAAAGGGCCTTACCGTCCGAAATGAAAACCCGTGAGGTAAGGTAAGGTGTGACATTTTTAGGGTCGACCTTTTCTAACCCCTTCCTTCCTTGTGAAAAGGCAGCATCGCTGCAGATACTAGTTGCACGAAGGGAACACCTTCTTTCACACCCCTCTACAGTCAGCAGTGCGACTTCGCCCTCCGCAGACCGACTGCCTATACTGCTTAACGATACTTTTCTACAGGTATCTGGGAACGAGATCGGATTAATGGTAGGGGTCTTTCAAACTTGGGTTTGAGTTAAGAGCCCAAGAGATAAATATTTCAAACCAGTCATACATGAGTTTTTGTGAGTAGTTTAAGATGCATTAGCTCCATACTTTTCAGAGCTCACTACGAGCGGAACTCCGTGGGCCCAAGGTAAAGTGTATTATTTCTAGGGACAACATTTTGTAACCCAGTGACATTTCTGTACAGTCAGCAGTACGCGTCCATCAACTGATATCAAGCATATGCTCTTAGTTTTATCGCTCTCCTGAAGAAACAAGTGTTTCAATCAATATATCTCAGTCGGGTCTTTACGGTATGTAAGCGTGACCACACCTTGATGATGGAAAATGTGTTTGATCTCAGATATAATTATTATTAGCCCTGATCCTTCATAATTAATCTACAATCTGGCAATAATCTGTACCGATCCAAGTTGTCATACCTGGCATCTATCTAAAAAACAATAATAATGGTATTAGGAATAGTGGTGAGAGAAGATAATTTAAAAAGAATGACTGAAATCGGGAAGTAAAAAGTACAAATAAGTATCTTGAACTCAAAACTCATAGAACTCCACTATTGTTATCGGTATAAGTAATTTCAGTAATAAAACAGTAATCGACAGTGTAGGTTTACGCTTGTCTTTTTCGTCATAGAAATTAAGCACTGTTATTCTTTTCGTCCTTCTTATCAACACTCATTATCCTAGTCACTTTTTTCACCTTTATATCTTATCCTTATCACCGTCATAGTCATCCTTATATATGTATAATAAATTGCTGGTGAAGTTCACTCCTTGAAATTGTCATTGAATATTATCAATGGTAGAGAAGATTTACAGCTCAGGCGAATATTTTTAATGTTGTTAACTTATCTGGTTTAATTTAATTATTTCATAAAGTAGGCCCTGGCAATGTTGTTCTGAACGACAAAGAAAGCTCTATCATCAAATTATCTAACTTAAAGAATTCAACATCAAAAATAACTACTAATTTTACCATTGTGATGTTTTTTATTTCGATAACTCTTTAAAATAATAAAAAGTTTTTATTGTCTGTTCTAATTTATCATGGTTTTATTGACTATAACAATCAAAATAGAATACAAATTAGTGAGTAAGGAGTTGAAATTGTTGTCTTTCTGGTTGGTTTCTCTCTCCTTTTTGTGGGCGATTTTATTCATATTTCATATTATAGATTAATAGTTATAAAATTTGCATATACTGACGGCCAAAAGATAAACAGTTTGTGTGAACGTAATTTAAATTGATTTTGTTTTTAAAATACTAGGTAGTTAACGTGCTTTCTCAACATACTTCACACAATGTCGATTCACTTAGACTGATGATCATATTATAATTTGACTGATAGAATTCGATCAGCACTAAAGGAGTAAACACAGACATAATACACTACTTAGCGATAAATCAATAATAGGTGTTGTTTTCTATTGTTCTATCACAAACTGATATTTAAAACATTACTGGGAACTCAAAATACACTCTGGACAGTTACGTCATCATACTTTGACATTTCTCAACAGTGTGTACGTACAATTCCACACTATATAAAAGTCAAGAACTGTGCTTTGTTGATTTCCGTCTTATTGTTTTTGTGGTCTAATAGAACCATGCTCTCTATGGAACCCATTAAGTGAAAACGGATACCCAATAAAATTCCAAACAAAACATACATCCACAATAGAACCTAAAGTAAAACCACCGACATCATCGAAGAACACTTTAGTCCTAAAATTGCAGTTAGATGTGATGTGACCTGCGGGCTAGCGATGCGATGCATAAATAACACCATAGAACCACACAATTATATCATTGTATTTTTGAATATCACCTCCCTTTGTTTGATTCCAAAAGGGAACAGTGAAACTGTAGCGTCGGTTACTATGTTAAGCGCACATCACTTATTCTAGCTTCTGGACATGCCAATTTATTCATTCTTCTTGAGTCACGTTTTGACCTTGTTAATTATTTACTTATCAACCTTGACTGTTTTTATGTAGGCGTTTGTGTGTTCATTTCCTGTCTTAATATTACATGTCTGTAATTTATTTTTTTTCAGCTATAAATATCGATTAACTCTTGCTTAAATCGAGTTGGCTCATACCCCTCAACTGCGCATCTTTTCGTTTCGATCTTTTCACTTCTCCAGTTTCCTTCACTCTTTCCTATTTGTTTCGTCTTCTTGATTGCCTGTTCAAATCAGTGAGTGCATGAAATATGCATATTCAAAATCAATTCTCGTATTTTGCTTATTTAGTTCCGTTATTCACTAACGCGGTTTAAGTCGATTATTGCATACGAGGATACCTGACATATGTCTTTCAATAACATTCATACGATCCAATTGGAGCAAGATATCGCACCATTAAAGTGGTGAGATCGTCGATAACATCGACCGATCTAATTGACATCAAAATGAAGGGCCCCACTAAAAAATACTCTGTTTTAGTGCATTTTGTAGATTTCAATCAATACAAAATGTTTTTCCAAATCTATTTATAGAATGACATCGAACTTGCACCATGTTTCCAGACTTCGTCTTTCACATATGTCGAAAGTCATAGGTACACACATCAAAAAACCTTATCTCTGCGTTCAGGAGAATTTTGTCCAGCCTCTTAATTAACCATGACTTTCACCTCACTTACTACATTTCTTAGAAAAATTTTAATTCTACTCAATTTTGATTTATAATTTCATTTTACATGATCTATCTATCTTTCTTAATAATCCGATTACCTATTTTCTATTGTACTCGTTTTACTAATTGTATATTGTTAACTTTACAAATAACAGAAAACATTCATATTCAATTGCTTGATTTTGAAATGAATTAGTTCTTATTATTGCGCAACGAGTTTTATGGTTAACTGATTGCGTAACCTTATCATTAAATGTGTTATATCTTCTACATTTGTTGAGCATCTTAATGATTACTGCTTTATAGAAAACGTTGTTAATTCGACGAAGCACCATTTATTTACTGAATTGTAAAACCTATTTTTATTAGTGTAAAGCCCTAATGAGGAATTAATTCAAAAGGAAAATTTTCTCACCAGCATAGGGTTGTGGAGATTGTTGGGTTTTTATTGAAACTGTGAACCGATCAATGTCAGACCACCATTGAAACCCTGGAAGCACTTGACAATCCTTTCGTCCTAGTATAGGGCCCGTCAGGCATGCGCATCCACGATCAAGCACTTGGGCCTTGATCTCAGGACCTTTCGTCTCGCGCGAACCCTTAACCTCCAGACCAAAGATACAATGTTAACATACGTCTTACCTGAAAAACATGTGCTGTTTATCGTTATCATTACCATTATTATTGTTATTATGAACTCGTTACCACGTACATATTGGCGTACTTGGCTTTCATTCATACTCTACTTGTGATTCTTAGTGGTACTAACTCTTGTTACGCAAACCGAAGTAGATAGGGTAGGGTTCGAACTTGGCACTTAGGGGTTGAAAGTCGGAAGCGTTAATCACCTAGCCACCACTCATAAAGAATGTAGATAGGTATGAATTGGTATGGTCACCTATTTCGAAGTGCTTGAATAGATTATCTGTTACGTATTTCCGTTACGCTCTTCTGTTTTGAACATTTGTGTGATCGATTTCATTTTGTTTGTATATAAGTTTTACAATCCCGTGGCTTCACTTGAAAGTTATTCTTGATTATATCAAAGTATTTTGAAATTGTCATTTCTGAGTCTCTCAGATGTTCGTAATGTATCTATTTTGTTCATACGGTATATCTCATCCAGTATGTACGTCACAAGAATGGAATAAGTAATTAAGTTTAATTACCGAATCGATTTGTAACATACACAAATCTTTAGTATTCATATGGCATTATTTTTTTTGAACCAGAAAAAAATATGTAGGCAGAGACATTAACTAGGTGTTCGACTGAATTCCTCCAACAGCTTGCTTTGTTTTTAGCTTCTTACCTGCCGTCTGACCTTAAGTTGACATGTGAGCCCTCGCAGTTGACATGCCTATACTTTTATCACCTATCAGTATCATTTGTATAGCAATAACCATCCTTCCAATTTTCCGTGAAAGTGCAATATATAGCATTATGGAGATCAGCGTTGTGTATATGAACTTAATTTTCACTAGAGATTTCATTTCCATCATTTGAAGCTGTCCGCATACATATTCCATAAATACGCAACTAAAGCCCATCTCAACCTCCTAGATGAAAAAAGCAAATAAATTAGAAATTGAAATCCCTAGCGAAAATTACATTCTCAAATGCAGCACTCACCAACAAAATGAACGAATAGATTCTTGAAAATTCTTTATTACGTAAATATTGAGAAACGGATTAATAACATCTCCGCATCATTCGTAGTCATTCATTTTAACCAATCCTCTAGAAATAATTTTAATCTTGATTTAACTATTCATAACTGATTTATTTTTATAATCCTATAATATAATGATTTTTTTTCCACAAATAGGATTGCAAAACTGCATTTGATGGTGAAAACATAAATATCAATTCACAGTCACGTGAATATGCACAACCGTTTATTTCAAATACATTAGAATCATCGAATAATCATTCTACCACATCAAAAGGTTGTACCATAGTTATTAATCCAGCAAATGTTGGCACAGATGGAATTGATACAATAGAAAATAAAACTACTCTACCGTAAGTTTTAAACATTAGTTAATGTTTACATTGAGTTTTTAGGCTCTTTACTCGAACACTACTAGTTGAGTCAGAGCTTATAGCGAAATGTTACCTAATTTTTCAACCTCAGTTAGTGTCCGGTATGGTTGTCCACTATCTCCATTTTTGTCTAACTTCATCATAGACCTGCTGATAGAAATAACGTCCTGTTTGGTTAAGACACTGATAAAATGCAGAGTCTTCTGGTAGCACTAAGCAAGAATGCCAGAATGTTTGGAATGCGCTTCTCTCCCTCTAAATGCAAGTTGTTGCTTCAGGACTGGCCGTCAACACCTGAACTAAGGATAGGGAGTGAAGTAGTCGAACGCGTTGACAAATTCACTTATCTTGGAAGTCTGATCAGCCATAATGGGTTGGTGTCTGACGAAACCTCAGCACGGATTCGAAAAACTCGCTTGGCTTTTGCCAACTTACGTCACCTTTGGCGAAGGCGAGATATCCGTCTATCAATAAAAGGACGAGTATACTGTGCGGCAGTTCGTTCTGTTTTTACGGCAGCGAAACATGGCCATTAAGAGTAGAAGACACCCGTAAGCTACTAGTATTTGACCACAGATGCCTTAGAAATATTGCTGGCGTCTGCTGGGATCTCCGGGTAAGTAATAGTGAGGTTAGACGCAGTGTAATGGTAAATCAGTTGATGAGGTTGTTAATCTTCATCGACTGAGATGGTTGGGCCACGTGTTATGTATGCCTGAACGCCGATTACCACGTCGTGCAATGCTAACGGGTGTTAGAGATAGTTGGAAGAGAATTAGGAGCGGCCAAACCAAAACGTGGCATCAGTGCTTGAAGTCACTAACTTGTAGTCTGAGCCATGTTGGTAGATTCAGACCACTTGGTTGGGTTCCGCGTGACTATCGTAACGAATGGTTGGAGACTCTTGGTGACATGGCTCCAAATCAATCACAGTGACGTTGGTATATACGCCTTTCTCCTTCACTTAATCCTTGCGATTAAAATTACTCAAAATTGTCCACGAACTAATTCTTTCCCCCTGTATCCTTTTATGCAATCTTGTTGTGTTAATGAGGTATGGCAACTTGGACCGATGCATATATGTGCCTGGTCCTACGTTGTAGCTGACTGACTTTGAGGTAGGTGATTGGGCAAGAGTATAGTGTAGGAACGACAATAAATCAGCCACGACGAACTTCCTGTCATTTCTTCACCTAATTGGAAAAGTGTCTCTAAATGGATGGTGTATGGCAAAGAAAACAACAGTAAAACAAAGTGTAAGCAAATTTTACAGAATCAATGTATCTTTTAATGTCCTTTACAAAATACTTTCCCTTTCAACTGAAAAAAATGATATGTAATCCCTGTCCTCGAACTTTTATATGAACGAAAATAAATTCTTCAGAGTACCCGCATTGTCAGGGTTGTAGATTCAGAGTAAGTATTAGAGTTTTAGAGCTACGGCTTCTACCACATCATCTTCTATAATGCGGAAATTCTTTGTATTCAAATGAATGAATGTATTTACTTCGAATATCCAAGAGTTGTTATCTAACTGTCTTGTTTGTAAGTTATATTGCCACTAGCTTATTATTATGAATCAGGATTAAGCATTTAGAGATAAGATGTTATATAAAATGTACAGAAATAGAATAAAACACTTGATACGTTTAACACAATGATTTTTACTTTATGGTGGTTTTCGGTCATTTTTTCATTAGGATTTTGAACATTTTGAGTAGTATACAGAGATATTGTTGTTTATTGTTATTGGTATTATTTGAATTTTATTCAAAATCTGAAAAGTCGCTTTCTCGATTATGATTGACTCTTATCTATACTATACTCTTTCACGAGTGGTTGTAGTTTTTATTTTTATACATATTTTTTGTGATTTTGGTAATTCGTTTCGTATTGTTTTTTCTTGTTCTAACAGTCATAACGATATTAAACACTCTTCAATGTCATATTTTTGTTACATAATGGGGTTCTCTGTGGTCTTTCTTTGTGTTAGAATATACTCCACAAAACTCATTCTCAATTAGAGCATATATCGAGTGTGTGTGTGTGTGTGTGTTTTATCAGCACGAACAACAAAGATACATTTGTGAATACATCAGAGTTTATATAGAATTTACACAAAAAATCTTCAAGGATTTTGATTTGTTCACTAGCGCACTCTTTTGTTGAAGATAGACCATTCACTGTGTTTTGATTTATTTCTGATACAAGCCCGTAATTTTCAGGGATCTATCCTACTGATATCTCCACTTTCAGGTCATTCTTCGGATTGGTCATCAGGATCTACTTGTATCTGGTCTGCGCTTACGTTTCTTCACGAGTTGAAACGTAAAATTCGGTAGACAAATAGATGGAGTTTTCATCCCTTTTTTTAACTTTTTAAAAACCTTTATTAGATATTCACTTTCGTAAACCTGTTAGACCTGATGCTTGTAACTCACCAATCGCTGGTATTTTTTTTTCGCCGTTGTCAAAATTGAAGTAAATGAAACAAGGTTTAAATCTGTAATCTAATAGTTTAAAGTTGACTGCTTCAATTGTTATACCACTTCTATGTTATCCTCTTCTAAATCTGTTGTAACAAACATCACTTTTTCGGATAGATAAGTAACTGTAGACGTCTGAGAAATAGTCCAGTTATTTCGCATAGCGCTTATTCACATCCTGTTCGATTGTCTTTATATAGATATAATGCTTCCAAGACATCTATTACTTACAATATTTTTATGTTTACCAATATTTTACGGCTGGGTCAAACAATAGTTTATCACAAACTATAATCATACTTTTACAATCATTCGAAATTTCCACTATCTTAGTTGTTGTATATTGAGAAATGTATGCAAATGTGTTGTATTGATACGCTAATCAGAGCTAACATAAACTACTTACATAAATTAGATTATTTATTTATTCAAATTATGTCACTTTTATTCTATCCTTAAGTTAAATGATATATGTGTGGATCTATCATCGCCTAGAGGATTATATTTGAATAACATAAATATCATAAGTTGACTTCGATAATATTCATATTTATATGCGGAAAAATGTGAAGCATCTCTGGACATTTTGTGACTTTTCTTGTTATCTTTAATTAATCCCAATCCAATTCGCCTGTTACTCCTCGTGAAGGAGCACAAGCTGCCCTCCAGCATTCTACATCGAACCCTGTCCAGGGCAATCCTTCGCAGTTATTTCCAGTTGCTATTCATCCTTTTCATGCCTATTTCCAATTCCCGACGCAGTGTGTTCTTCGGTTTTCCGCTTTTTCGTTTCCCTTCAGCATTTCAAGTTAGAACTTATCTCATGATGCAGTTTGGTGATTTCCAAAATGTATGTCCTATCCACTTCCAACATCTTTGCATAATTTCCTCCTTAGTTGAAAGTTGGTTTGTTCTATCCCATAGTAGACTGTTGCTGATGATATCTGGCCAATGGAATTCACTATGCTACATAGATAAATGTTTATACATACTTGTACCTTATTGATAATGGTTTTAGTAGTTCTCCACGTTTCAGCTCCGTACAGTAGAACTATCGTGACATTCGTATTGAACATTCTGACTTTGACGTTGGCTGACAGTTGTCATTAAAAATTTTGTGTATCAGTAATATCATGAATTATTGAATCATTTATTCAATTATTCATTAATTAATTACTATCTTCAGTAATCTATCTGTTCAGTCAGTGATGATAATTTGTAAAGATTAATTCTGTCAATTCAGCTAATTTATTTTTGAAAATCACTTGCATAAAATGTAATGAAGTTGATCAGTCTTTACCTTCACTATTTCCATTCTTTTTTTAAAAATACTTCCAGTATTTATTGAAATGGAAATGCAGAAAACCATATATTACTTATTTATTTTCAGTAGTTGAGATCATGAGCCAATTGAAGCTAGACCACTATGAAAAACCTGAAAGCATTGGACGGTCAAGTTTTCCATGGTGGTTTAGCTTCAGTTGACTCATGATCTCAACTATTGAAATTACTATAATATTTACAAGAACCCCTTCTGATACTTATTTATTTACCTGTTTTAATCCCGTTTTTTTATTTTTAGTATATTCCCTTTGATTTCTTTTTTATGGTTATTGTAAACAATGATTTTCATTATTTTTTCCTCTTGTTATTTTTAGGCGTTACCAATTATTTAAGTATTTTAATTCTGTATAGATTAGAGAATATAATTTTGTACGTTTCTTCTCTTCATATATACCATTAATGATTGAGCATGACATTATTCAAGTCTCTGTGTATATATATAGGGGAAAAAATTATTAACCTCTAGTAGGGTTAGTTAACACTTGCTTTTTCTCTTTATTCTTTCAGTTTGTCGTTCAATCATAAAGAGTTTCATTTCATCATAAAGAATAGCTATTCATGAGTTTGTAGATATCGTTACCAAGGTTTGATTTGATAATTTCGAATAAATTGAGCACTGAGTAGATTGTTGTAAATAAATAATACATTTGTATTATCCCAATGAGTAGAAAAATTAGATTTTCTGACGTTTCTTGACTTAGTGTAAGCCACTACTTCAGAGAATAAATAACCAAATTAAAATTAATCCAAGTGTAAACAGATCGGGGTATTACAAATATATTATTTATTTATTAACTATTCATGTTTAGAACAGAAAAGATTAGGTACAGAAATGTTGAAATTTGGGGGATTTTAAAATATTTGAAAATCCATTTATCATATTTAGAATAAATGTGTTGAATCCTTCAGAAAATCCAACTATTTACTGACTATCGTGTTACATTTATCTTTAAAATTTGATTTTTCCGTTTGTTTTCTCGCGTCAAATCCACCCTCAAGAGTTGTTTTCTATTTCCGTTTGTTATAACTTGGGGGTTTGCGTCCCTATCAATGTACACAACGTAATGATACCGTCAATTAGAGAACAATGAATTATTTCATACCGGATCAATGACGCATAAAACCCGTGGGAGCAATCTAGAGTACTATTCGTCCTGCTTCCGCCTAGCCCAACCAGTTAAGTCCAGAACATCAATCTCAACCTCTGCGATATGAATCATTTATTTCAAGCATACTGCGTTTATATACCAGCCAGACAGACCACACGTACCATAAAATATGAAACAACATTTGTACAAGATTTAGCCAAATGTGGCTGTGAATGAGGGAGGTAGTAATTAATAGACGGAGTATAGTTCAAGAATGATAAATCGTATAATGACGGTTCATATATCAAAATAAGGCTTATAATAAGAGGAATATGAATAGTTTAGTTATTTAACAATTATACGATAAAAATATACGTATAGTATTAGTCCAGAAATAGATTCCAACAGTTACCATTCATTATTCTCATCGTTTATAACACCTTTTTATCCCATTGATCTATGACTTTTGACATATCAACTTTTTAGCCCTATTTTCAAGTTCATGGTACTTATATTTATACGTCTGTTACTTGCTGAACTTAATTTTCTTTAGTCTTTTCTCAATTAATCAATATTTCAAGATTTATCTATTGGAATAGTTGTAGCGTGGGAACAAAAGAAAGTCGTAATGTACATATATCGAAATTTGACCGACAGGTACTACTGTTAGTCCATGACACATTAAAATGTTATATAGTAGTTGAAACGAAAATTCGTTGATAATAAGTGATCTAAAGATAACTGTCAGAATTATTTCTAATCGAACAGTGATTTAGTAGTTAAAGTATTCGACTTTTTTAATAATTGAGTTTCAGGTTCCAATTTAGCATTAACAGCTTCAGCTTAAGGATCCCGCTAGTTTCATTAGCTATCATTCAAGAAATGTATGGCACAAATTCGAGTGCATAAACGCGTATTTTGCTAGGGTGTTATTTTAAAAGTAACAGCTAATAATGATCAGATTTTCCTTTACCGCATAGATGATTATAAACTATTATTAAGCTGTGGGTCATATCTTTTGTATAGAGCCTTACACTGTCGTATTTACTTACATACAATACATGTAAATCTCAAAGTACTGCACACACAAACACTTTCAACTTTCCTGATTCTTGGTAGTCAACGTTGTAGCCTACATAATTGACGAAATGTTTGGATGCTGGATATATAAACACAAGATTGATAACTCTTTGGTACTAAGTAAATGGATTTCAACCAATTAAATCACCGGTTTTTATGACGTTTTTGAGAACTAAACAGTTGAATGAATTTTGATTAACTAACTTGTAAACTCTACAAGATAAAATATAATCCCTTCGTAACATTTAGTTATATTAGCAACGAAGATAACTGCTAATCGGACAGACAAGAGAAAATTCAATACTTATTAATCCTTTCATGTACGGAGTCACATTGTTTCCTCATTTTCAGTTTATTACCAATCTGACAGCTTTCAGTTTTCATAAAGATAATGCATAACCTTTGGATAAGTGATTTAAGAGTCAAGTTACTTTTTTCAACGTAGTTGATTTTTGATTGTCTGTAAATTCTTCTCAGAACTTCAGGAAGTTCATCTAGATGCTGGCCAACTATGATTAGTGGATTATTCTTATTACTATTATCATAGATGTTCTATAAAGATTTGTTTATGTTAAGGATTATGTTCACCTCTTAAGCTTAGATTTAGTGAGTTGCATTTCATCACTCACACAATTTATTAATTATAATCCTAATTAGTTTGTTTGTCACCAATGTATAAGATTAATAATGCAATTAATGTTTTAGTAGAACCCCTCCACAGTCACACAGTCACTCTTATATACGAACATTGTGTACTGTCTTAGTAAATGATTATCTTCTTGATCGCTTAGTCGTGTTTGTTTTTTAATCCGTGATTATTACTATTGTATTTGTACATACTTATTCTATTTACTTAATCCATGTTAAAACAGACTTTATTACACTTAGCTTAACATTGCTAACATAATTAACAGATTTCGATCATAGCCTAATATTGACTACTGTTTAGCGAACTAGTTAATATATTGTTTATAATGAAAGTAAGATCAACTGGTAACTTCTTATAAGTCTTCTCTTAATAAAAATATAAATTATGCATAATTTTACTATTCTAAAAAGAAAAAAACAAACACTGGAATAGGTAAAAATTGACCAACGATTTAATTTTCTTCATCCGTCCACATTTGTCGTGGCATAAACTTAATGATAACCAGTTTTTAATACTTGATGTAAATATCTCAATCTTTATTGGAGGGCAGTCGCATCTGAATAGCCCAATTTTTAACATCTTTGACTGTATTACAGGTTATGCAAGTCTGGATACCTTGGATAACGTTAGTTCTGTCATGATAATAGGTAGTTTTTTTATTTGTAAGTGTCGAAATTACACGAAATTTAGATCTAATACGTATAAAATCTTTACACAGCATTTAATAATAAGATTCTTGAACATTAGTGTTAATTACAAGATAAACTGTAATCCTTTCATGATCTCACTTTCCATATTTATTGAACACATAACTTATTTATTTTATATAAAGCGATAACCTAGTAGTTGTAACATTTAGAGTTACATATTCATACTATATGTTATTAGGAACAAACAGATTGGTACAGTAGCAATTCTCAGTTGACAAAATGTAACTGAATGTTCATAGTTTATAAATCTGTACATAGATTACTGAATTGGTTTGTTTAATATATTGAAATTTATGTTGTTAATATGTTTAATATGTTTACCTACTTAATTCATTTAGTATGAGTTATATTATACATACTGGCTTAATTACATTATTAAGAGTAAACAATTCTATATTGATTACTAACGAATTGTCTATTAAAACTGTGCACTAATTTTTTTTCTTCACTGAATATAATACATGTTCATACTCGATTGAAAGAAAATATACATTTATATTCTCTCTTTTATGTAGATGCTTCTTTCTAAATGGCAAATTCAACAAACATAACAAACAGATCCATTACATATATGTATTTTTTCTCGAACTGGAATTAGCTGGAAGGTTAGATTATCAATTAAGGAGCACTGGATTATAATTTGCATCAGTTAAAGACTATATGGTGAGAATATAATTTATGGACGACCTTCAAGCGACACCAAAGTGACCTTGAGAGTGACTACCTACTTATTAGAGCTAAATGAGGGTTATAAAGCAGTTTGAAGAATAAGGATCATGATTCACAGTTGATGGTTAAGGTTAGGAATTAAATTTACGGTTTTTCATCACGAACTGACATCAGCTAAAATGTCAAGACGCTATTTGGCCAAACTGGTTGATGAATTTCGTGCCAAAATCCAAGACCTGCTATCCTAAATCTGATTGGTTCGTCCATAAATTATAGTCTCGCCCTATATATATGAGATCAAAGTTCCACCATCAGGTACTGTAGTGAACAAGACTTATTTAGACAACTGGAATCCAATAGGATTTCATCCATAAGTTTTGTTCGGTTCGTACTGTGAAGTGATCGTCATCTGATTTCATCGTCTAGATAAGTATCTCACGATCAACCTAGTTAGTTTCATAGTTCATTAATAATTTTTTTAAACTAGGAAATCCATCTCAAAGTTAGTCATTAATAATGAATGGCTTGTAGTTTGTGAAAACTTTGTTCATTTAAAGATGGTTTAACATTGTCAAGCTATAATCACAGTTTCGAACTTTATTTGATTATTACTCCATAGAATGTTATCATATAATCACAGACATTATCAGCTTATTCTTATCTTAATATTCAATAAAAATCCTTTCCTGATCAGATTGTTATCACCTTTTTGTTTTACCACTTCAGTTCTGGTCTGGTCCTCAAGGTAATTGTATCAATTAAATTCATAAGAAACTAGTAGAAGGAGGTTAGATGAAAACTCAATTAGGTTAAAACAAAACATTACATAAGTTTATGAAAGTATTAAATACTGGAATGAGCTATACTGATAATTGCAGAGGACGTGGTTTGGTTTTGTATGATTTGTGGGCTGAAGTCCCTAAGGACACGGCTTAGAATCATTTGCATTCACCTTACCTACCCCCTATGTCTTCAGATTCTGTATTCTGTTATCTGTAACTTAACTTCAAATTATATTCTTCAATGTTTAATCTTTCTCACTATTATTAGTACTGCTATTATTTAGACTTCTTTTCAATACATGTTATTGATTTCATCTCGTATTGATCTGATATGAAAACAGCTAGGAAAATGTTCATTTTAGGATCTAGGTTAATTCTAACTGATTCCATGTTTTTCAGACTTTAATCTGATGGCTTTTTTATAACCCTTTATGCATAGTGTGTGTATACGTTTGTTTTAGTCCAGTTGTTTTTTTATCGCTATATCGTGTACATAGTAGGATTTTCTTAGTTTCAACTACTAGTTTTATTTGTAAATTATTCTCTCCCCACCACCATGGATTGATATCGTTCATGGTACTATGACGAACTAGTGAACAGTAAATAGCTATTCACCTTCACGCTTCTATTTTGGAAAAATGCTTCCTTATTTTACCTATAGTCAATGAATGAAGATCAACTCTGGACTGCATGTATACCCAGCTGACGAGTCCCAAATAGGACGAAACTCGCGTCTTGAATTCTATTGCTAGCCACCATCCGCCTCTGGTTAAAACAATCCACAGGTAGTTTTATTCCCTCTACTGTATTGATTTTTACTTCTTTACCTTGCAGCCTTGAATATGCTAAAACAGTTTTTTTCTGATTTATTTCAGAAAACAACCGGAACCTAATGAATTGGCAAATTATGAATATCAAGATCATGTTAATCAATCTAATCAAATAAATAAATTGATAACTGCTACTACTCTGACTAATAATAATAATAGTAGTAGTGGTAGTAAAGATTCTGGTGCATTTGAAACACATCGTCGTCAACTGTCTTCTACATCATCAATCAGTTTAGGTTATGCTACAGGTCCTGGGACAATTGCTACTCCTTCATCTGCCTCTTCATCATCTACTGGCTACGGTTATGGTTATGGATATGCAGGTTCAGGAAGTTTAGCTAGTTATGCAAGTACTAGTAGCAGTGGAAGCAGTGTTGGTAATGGTCCAATTAATGGTAATTATTTGAGCACAATGCATCGTCTTAGTAATCAAAATTTAAGGAATCCACCTCTAAGTGGAGAGTCTATCAGTAGTAACTGGTCAGGCTTGAGTTCTCAAGGTCAGTGTTAAATAATAAAACCACTAAAATCTTTCATTAATGATTTGAATATCTAATGTATTAAGTTTTAATCTATGTAAATTAATGAAAATATCATTTAAAATGAGTCGATTTTCATTACTATATAAATATTTACTACCAGTGGTAAAAATATTAACTTGGAAATCGTTTATTTAGTCTCTATGTTAGTTCAGTAAATAATCAAGTGAAGAAACTTGCTTATTATTATTATTCAGTATTTATGTTTCATAAGTACTCTGTGCATAATAGACTCTTTTAATCAATATAGAAGTAAAATGATGTAATAGGCTAAAGCATATAAACAGTGCTATAAAAACAGAGTCATTATTAGAAAGCTAATACTTACTTACACCTGTTACTCCAAATGGAGCATAGGCCGCCGACCAGCATTCTCCAACCCACTCTGTCCTGGGCTTCCTTTTCTAATTCCATCCAATTCTTGTTCATCTTTTTCATGTCTCTTTCCATTTCTCGGAGTAATGTGTTCTTTGGTCTTCCTCTTTTCCTTTGGCCTTGAGGATTCCATGTGAAGGCTTGTCTTGTGATGCAGTTGGGTGCTTTCCTCAATGTGTGTCCTATCCACTTCCAGCTCTCCTTCCTGATTTCTTCCTCCGCTGGGATCTAGTTTGTTCTCTCCCACAATAGGTTGTTGCCAGTAGTGTCCGACCAACGGATCCGAAGTATTTTGCGTAGACAACTGTTAATAAACACCTGTATTTTCTGGATTATGGCTCTCGTAATTGTCCAGGTGTCTGCCCCATATAATAGAACTGTCTTGATATTTGTGTTGGAAATCCTGACCTTGGTGTTGGTTGACAGTTGTTTTGAGTTCCAGATGTTGTTCAATTGTAGATATGCTGCTCTTACTTTTCCGATCCGCCCCTTCACATCTGCATCAGACCCACTATGTTCATCAATGATGCTGCCCGAATATGTAAAGGTCTTTACATCTTTCAAATCTTCTCCGTCAATTGTGACTGGATTGGTGCATGCTGTGTTGTATCGGAGAATCTTGCTTTTCTCTTTGTGTATATTGAGACATACTGCTGCTGAGGCTGCTGCTACGCTGGTCATCTTCTGCATTTGTTGTTGCGTGTGCGATAGAAAAACCGGATCGTCTGCGAAGTCTAGATCGCCCAGCTGCAACCTATCTGTCCATTATATCCCGTGCTTCCCTTCAGATGTTGACGTCTTCATAATCCAGTCGGTAGAAAGCTAATAATTGGAAATTATAAAATTATTAATGCATGAGCATTCATTTTGTATACAACTATCGAAATTAAAGAAATCTTAACTGAATAGACAGTTTTACTGTACACAATCGATACCAGATGTTCACAATTTGTTTAAATTTCCATGTTGCCACTAATCTAGTAAGTAAACATCCTGTACATAGACGACCATTAAGTAACTTATTTAGTTTTCTATATAGTTCTACTTCATATGAATTTGTTGTAACTGATTACATTTCGAATTAATAATAATGCAACAACGATTATCGCAACTAATGGTTGTGTAGTGAACAAGAACACGAGTGGGGACAATGGAATGTATTTGACACGAAATTACAGAGCATCTCATTAAAATCTGAGAACCATATAGTAAATAGTTAATTTGCAAAATATCAATCCATCATCTCAAACTTCACTGTTCCTTTTGCAAATATCAGTCCATTGTCTCAGATTTCATTGTTCATGCATTTTCCTACCAATTGCGTTCCGTTCCCGTTCTTTTCTTATCGATCCTCTACTGAAATACATTCTATGCCTGACCACCGTTATATACTACTTATGTGGATATAAGTAACCCACACCGCAGTTGGAGACTCTGGGTGACATGGCTCAGAATCGATCACAATGGCGTAACTGTGTACACTTTCTGTCTTCCCTTAAACTATGAGATTAAAATTACTTTATATCTTTCTATCAACTAATTCTTTTTTCCTGTACTATATCATTGTATACAATCTTTCTTATATGTATTGCCATCATTGAATTAACTACTTCTATGGATTCGGTGTTCATCTTGTTGTGCTAATGAGGTGTGGCAACTTGGACTGACGCATATATGTGCCTGGTCCTACGTTGTAGTTGACTGACTGACTGAATGCAACAGCAAATAACAAGAAGAAATGAAGAAGTTCATATTTGAACACTTATCAATCAGGCTCTTACTGTCATACGTACATTCTGTACGGATTGCCTCGATATCGCCTTTAGTCATAAACATTATAAGCAGAGATGGTGGTGGTGGCCAACAGTGGAGTATCGAGGTATTTCTCACGGAATAGACATTTGTCAATAAGAGACTGATCAATGGGAAGATTCAAATAACTAATACAAAAATGAATTAAAACTTCCACAAACTTATGGAACATTGTCAATGAAGTGTTACTCATTACAAACATCTGAAAATTTTCGTTTCACACCAATTATTCATTCATTATATTTCTCAATAATTGTTATAAGAATTTCCAAAACATTTAAAATACTAACTTAACAGTATAACACTATGCAGAATCTACATGAAAGTGATACTTAATGCTCAACATTGTCGTTTTCTTTTTATAAATTTAACACATCGTAATTTTTTTCTATTCTTGACAGTTTCTCGTGAGATTGTTAATCCTTCAATTGTTGCTGTTAGCACAAACAGTTCAAATTCATCTTCAGTATTAACAACATCAGTACCGGGTAGCAATAATAATAATGATCAGAATAATGACGAAGAGTTAGTTAAACAGTCAGAATCATCTGGATTAGCTGCTATGCTACAAGAAGCTATTGCTGCACGTAAACGTAATAAAGAAAATCGATGTAATGATTCAATAAGACCAAGTATTAATTCAACTTCTTGCAATAATCCGGTAACTATTATCAATTAAAATATATGATCGAATTGATTAATTTGATGAATTCAATCATAATTTTTTATAAGTGTATACTTTTGCTACGAAAACCACAGAAGCTGATAAACAATTCATATTCTTATCGTATAGTAGTATGGTATAGGAACGAGATTAGATCAACTGCGACGAACTTTTGGTCAGTTCTCAAACAATCAGAAACCACGTTTTATAAATGGATAGTTAGTGAAAAAGCAAACAATGTCACATCGTGTAGACAGATTTTACTTATTCAATACATTTATATAAGTCTTCTACAGTTTGATCTGGCTGTATATTGAGAAGCAATTATAGAAAAAGTCTTCCTTATGGATATTGATTATATGTTTTACCTAACCCCTTAAAAAGACCCTAGTAGTAGGGCTTTTATCACAAATTGACATCAGCTGAAATACAGAAATTCTCGGTATTCAAACGGATGAATGTATTTACTTTAAATATCCAAGAGGTGTTATCTAACTTCCTTGATTGTGAGTTATATTGCCACTAGGTTCAGATTATGAATCAGGATTAAGCATTTAAGGGATAAGATATAAGAATAGTATTAATTTACTTGTTATATAAAATGTACAGAAATAGAATAAAACACTTGATACGTTTAACACAATGATTTTTACTTTATGGTGGTTTTCGGTCATTTTTCATTAGGATTTTGAACATTTTGAGTAGTATACAGAGATATTGTTGTTTGTTGTTATTGGTATTATTTGAATTTTATTCAAAATCTGAAAAGTCGCTTTTTCGATTCTAATTAATTCATCCTCATATTATACGTTAAGTGATAAACTAACTCAACTTACGTATATGTGCTCAAAACTTATGTTTCGTAACGTCGTGTTATCTTCTGTATACATTTAATTCCTATTTAGAAAATGATTATTGTCGTTTATTTTATAGTGTTATAATTATCTCAATCTATTACAGGAATTTCGATGCCTGTCAATATCAATGTTGTAATAACTGTAAATCATATTCATTGATATCGTTTGATAAGTTTCACTAATTAAGATCTTATAATATTTCTCTACTACGCGTGCACTATTTTGGTTATACCCTAGCATCTCAGACTTAACCAGTGATACGCTTCTATTGGGAAGTTGAATTATGAGTTAACGTCAAAATAAATTTTGACATCTATTTCTTCTCAAGATTCATTTTTCCCACATTCTGTTGCCCAATTATCATAATAGAACAATAACACAGCAGACAGATAACTTCTGTTGTATGGTAAAATTCATAACCCGAACTAATGTGGTAATACAGTTTAGTATTCTGACCTCACAATGACATAAATGAGAAATTACTATACATGGTGATAACTACACCGTATGTGAAAGAAAAATAAGTAATAAGCCCATAATCAATTTACATTAACTTATGGAAAGTAAGACACAGATCAATAGCTTATGTGCCAAACGAAAGCTTTCAACTAAGATTATATTAATGTACAGTAATCTAAGTGTCTTATAATTACACAATAAAAGCACAGACATTAATCCTTGATAAAATAATTCCGAAAGTTGTATTTTCACACTGTAATATGATATGCTTGCTGCAAGACCCTAGAATTCAGTGTTAAGTTGCCAGAGAGGTCATGGGTTTTTAATTCCCGAAAAGTTTCAAATTGGAGTGAAACATCTATATGGTACACCTACTGTTTTCAATAGTTCTTCAGGTGATATCACTTCATGACCAAGGTCATCTGGGCGTTTATCTTAGTGATCTCATCCCATGCCGATATGATCTGACAGTTAGAAACAATACACAAATATCCTAGTTTCTATTTCGCTGATAGCTAACTGACTGACTACTCAGATTTCAATTGTAATCTCCTGATCCAATAGTATAAAGAAACTTCATCCTAAATAGTATTCTATTACTGCAGATTCTGTATACTTAAATGGATTAATTTTTTACGAAAGAAACTTATCCATTCTAGATTTTGTACATATCACAATTCATGATTATCACAATATTTGTGAACTATGGAATTAAGCCTACTCTTATAGTTTATAATATATGTAGGATCTAACAAGTACATAGTTTAAATTTGTAGTTATTCTGTTTATCTACATTAAACATAAAATACATACTTAGGATTATGTGTATATGAAATCCACAATTACAAAGTAGATTATTATTTAATCTGAATGAAAATTCTATGTATTTTGTCTATAAAAATATTTCATACAGTTATTTGGGAAAAAACATTATCAGAAGGGATTTTGTGAATATTATAGCAATTTCAATGGTTGAGGTCATGAGTTAATTAAAGCTACATTGGAGTTCTAGTGAGAAGCAGTGACCAATGGAATCCAACTGGGTCTGTTGTAAGATAGTAACTCACTGAAGACAATGGTGGATGTGTCGCTCAGTTTTGTGGATTAGTTGAAGTTAGACATTAACACCGTTAGATGCCGGCTCGATGGTCTAGAGGTTAGGCGTTCGCGCGCAAGACTGATAAGTCCTGGTTTCGAATCCCACGAAAAGGATCGTGAATGTGCCCTGTTGAGGAGTCCCATACTAGGACGGGACGGTCGTCCAGTGCTTTCAGGTTCTCCATGATGATCTAGTTTCAATCGACTCATGAATTCAACTATTAAATAATGACTAATTAGATTTTTTCTGTGACTGAAATCTGTTTTGTAAGTTTAAAGTAAAACTCGAATAAATAAGAACTTTCGTCTAAATTTGAACAAATAGTTTCACAATATTTGGGCGCCGAGTTAATATGAGACATTAAAAAGAAGAATATATTTGTAAAGTCTCAGCGAATGAATTTTATGTAAATCCAACGTTTCGCCTGGCAACTCGTATTATCTTAATGTCTTTATGATTTAATGTCGCCCAAAGTTCATTGATAAATATATTTACACCGATAGTAGGGAGTGGGTAAAGATATACATTAAATTGTACAAAACATAATTCAATTTTGTAGACACACTTTACGTATGGATTGCAGTTTACAATCCGTCAATTTGCAATCAACTTAGAGTTTGGCACTTGTGTATGTTAACCCATATATTCATACCACATCATTTTGATGAGATGAATTTGAAAATATAGATACTAAAAGCAGTCAAAATAATGTAGCAGCAATGATAATGTGAAAATTAAACATTCGCGAAAGAAACAGAACTAGAAACCATATCTGAAGAAATACTGAGACTCAAGGTCTAGGGTAATATAAAGAGTCGACCCATCTGCTCGATTGTGGTTAATTTCGAATCATGTCACCTCGAATCTTTATTCGCTGACCACAACCTTAATTGTTTATATCTACCCTACGTGGTTCAATCAATGGTCTCATGAATCGATATCAACTTTATTTTGATTTCCATTACAGTTTACAAAAATTATTATGGATTGCAATATTTCAATACATTTTTCTCTTTATGTCAGATAATTTCAACTACAAAATCCCCGCCGCCACCACCACCTCCAGCGCCACCGACATTATCATCAATTACTCAACCGAAAAATGACAAAACCAACCCAATAAAACGTACAGATTCTACACAGCAATTAAGAAAAGATTCCATTGATCAAAAATCTTCTATGCTAGCTGAAATTCAACGTCGTATACAAGCTAGACGACAATTAATCGATGCTGCTGAAGAAGAATGTGGTTTGCTTAAAAAAGACCATCATTTGGAAGTAATTAATTTGTCTCTTTTATTTTAAGATATTAAGCTACCATTATTATTGTTGTTTTTCTCAATCCATCTTCTGTGATTTGAGAGACTGATGTTACGACTGTAATAACTGGAACCGATGAACATTTAATTATCAGGTTTTAAATTGTCCTTCTGATTCATGACGGTTTAGCTTTTTTTAACTTTACTATTTAGCATGTTCATTGTTGTCATAACCTTAGTCTGACTACTTGACCCTGAGGGTAGAAAACCATCCTATTCGCTGACTAATGATCGACTACACGGACACTGATTTGTTGGCTAGAAAATAGAGAAGGGATCTGTGGAAAACCCTTGATTCCCAAAATATATCTAATTCCAAAGGGTACACAAGCAAATATATAAATCATTTAACCAAAACACAATGTCTAAAAATAGGGCTCTTAGATTACGAAAATAGAATACAAAACCAGTGTTCAAATTACCGTAGATGAAAATATGGCAGTAGTTCATAAATTTAACAAAAGCTTATAATTAATGTAATAAGACAGTCATCAAATTTTAATAATCACAGAGCAAAACCTAAGTAAACTAATATCCTAAAAAGTAGCTTCCATATTTTATCATCTTTTTTCCATTGTTCTCCTTACAACAAATGTAATTCCCATAAGATTTACAGTTATTCTTTTTTTAATCAAAACAAGGATGTGTCTAGTCTACTATTTTTTCGTCTTTCGTAAAATGCTTTCAGCTGATGTTAAATCTTAAAATAAAAGAGCACTAGGTAGTGCGGTTTTGGCTAAGTTTTAGACTCTGTAGCCAATGGACATGTATAATGTCACATAGGTTTGAGCATCAAGCAGTTTGAAGTCTCAGGATGAATATTTTACTTTAGGATCATCGATTTAGGTTTCCGTAGTTCGCATTACTAGTGATTCCTGCCCCATTATAGATTTATTTGGACTTTATCTATCTTAGTTTGTGACTAGAACTTCGAAAATCTATCTTACGATTATTCTCTACTGAACACTAATGACCGTTATCTATAAAAATGTTTAGTAAATAATATGAACCTTAAACTATTCTTTTCATTTCACCATGAAAAGTTCGTCTTCTTTTCTAAATTATATAAATTCCTCACCCTTAATTTTACCCACATTCTAGTCATCAAAATCTATCTCCATACCTTCTGAAAATACCGGTGTTATATCGACTAATTCGATCGATTCGTCATTGAATAGGTAAGTTATTAAAACTTTTTTTCATTATTACAATAAATAACATTTTTATACTTTTTAGTATGAGTTATGTTGTAGGGAAGATGAGTTTTAACTATTCTTGAAGTAACCGTGACAATTTTCTCCCCATTTTTCATCAATATTCTATAATTTTACATCATAAATATTTTGAGATCTACGTGTTTTCCCCGTCTGTAAATCGAAAAAATATATTAACTTATTGATTTATATATTTATAGAACATTTATCGTCTCGAAACTTTGTAAGGATACAAAATGTTTTTCAGAAGTCTTTATATTGTTCCTGATCAGAGTTTAGGTCTAGAGTTGATTTATATGTTACATGCAATTTATACAGAAAGAATTGAATATTTGATCACTGGGTGTTGATCAATGTCATGTGTGCCAGGTCGTTCTTAGTGTAGATCGAATGCTATCGACCAAGTTGCAATGTGGCCACTAGTCTAAGTGACTCGACATTGCATGCACTATGTTGAGATAAGATGGTGGTTGGAGGCAGTCCACAGGAAACCCTGGAACCGAGTTTCGTGCTATTTGGCACTCGTCAACAAGGTGTATCTGTAATCGTGAGGGAACTGGTGCTCCCTGACGAATTCGATTTCGTGTCATCCAGCTTCACAGTTAGAGACATTACCACTAGGCTATCCTGGTCGCGACCGACATTCTGTAGGACTGAGATGTAATCACACTTGATTGATCATTGGGTGGTGGTCAATGTCATGTATATCAGGTTGTTCTTAGTGCAGATCGAATGCTATGCACCAAGCTTAAATGTAGCCACTAGTCTCTAACTGTGAAGCTGAGTGATACGGGATTGACTCCACCAGGCATCACCAGTTCCCTCAAGGTACACGTTGCTGACAAGTGCCAAATAGCACGAAACCCGGATCCAGGGTATCCTGTTGACTGCCTCCAACCCTTTGATTAGTACGTTAATCTCATTTGTTATTTATTGTCGAATCCATTTTTGTGATACAATCCATTCTATCCTTCTATAGACATACATTTTCCATATAACTATATTTACGAATGTACAGCTAAAGTAAATGATTTCGTCGAAAAGAAAATTTTCTTCGCTGAATTCTCTTTTTCTTATTCATCATCTTATTATTGTTTTGACTCTGTTGACAAGAAAAATCACTTTTTATCGTAATTTGAAATGTTCTGAGCATTATACAAAAGTAATTAAGCTACTGGTTATACATTATTTAAAATAAAAGTCATTTTGGTTTTTGAATTTCTCGCAAAAAACTGAAAAGTTCTAATGCATCGGATTGACTCATCCCTATGCTTTGATCTTATTTTGCGATTCAAATTTCATATGGCATACAGCTTGAATTTCAGTGTTATTTTATTCTTTCTATTTCTTGGTTCCTTGTTTTCTTCACGAAATTGGGCTTCTGTTCCTATCGTCATCGGTGCTTCCATTATTATTTCAGCTCTTGCTTATCATACAGATTTTCAAGAGATCCTAAAAATGATTAATGAAGTTCTCACTTTTAAATTGTAAAATATAAGTAAAAGTGGTGTTTTATGTATAATATAATGCTTTCAGTTAATATTATAGCCGTAGATACTACCTTAACGTAGTGGTCTGACTTCCTTGTTATGATGACACAATCGAAATATATTGACCGGAACACTGGTTCCTTCAAGTCCTTCCATACTAAGCAGGTCTATTTTGAGCAGTAAGACTAAAAGCGACGACAAAGTCTTACTTCTGATTGTACACAAGTGTGACATCAGTAAAGTGTTTCCCTCAGACAGTAAGGATCGATAGCGATGCTGCTTTCCTAAAAAGAAAGGAAGGAATTAGAAAAGGTAAACCCCGAAAATGTGACCTTTCAAATTACTCCATGGATTTTCGTCCTTGGTTTAGGCCGGTTAAAGTCCGGAGCTGACACATCAAAAACTCCCCATAGAAATTCCTCATGTGACTAGCCTTAAGCAGTTTTCTCTTGGGCTTTGCAGTCACTAATACCACCATTAACCCATTTCCTTTTTTCGGGTCTTTAAAGAAGAAATATCCTCCTACGATGTGGGAAACCAATAAGTGACGGGCGTACCTCATACCTCTAACAGCATTTGAGATCATCTTGTTCACGACGAAGTCCCTCCATCACTTCTTAATATTTCTATTTTTACTACCAATTTTTGTCGTATGTTATCATGTTGTCATCAGCTGTTTAAGCATATTTTTGTTTAGAGATCACATAATCCTTACCCATGAATAGCTTTTATAAACAACAGTTCGGATTACTTTCAATGTCTTAACCTGTATTGAAATCAAGAATTGGTCAATTATACTGTTGACAGTTGTATACTGGTGATCGAAAAGTAGAACTAAAACTGATTGAGATCATGAACCGATTGATGTTAGACCATCATTGAAAACCTGGAAGCACTGGACAGCCGTTTCGTCATATTGTGGGACTCCTCGGCAGTGCGTATTCACGATTCCGCTCGCGGGATTCGAACCCAGGGCCTTGAGTCTCGCGCGCGAACGCTTAACCTACTGGAGCACTGATTGTGTTTCATTAGATCATGGTAATATATAATAAATCAACAAATAAATTCATTCCGAAAAAAGAAAATATGTCAATTAATAATTTCCAAATGTTTGTTTTTTTCTTCTTCTTCAGCCGAAATGTTAATACATCTAATTGTTCTACAATATCAAATATTATAAATTCTGATTTATCACTTACTCGTTCAGAATTGGATAATTTACGTCGTGAAATTATTGTTGAACTGCGTAAAGAAGTCCAATTGGCGAAAAATGAAATTATGGATTGTAAATACTTTTTTTAAAATCTATTCATTGTAATTGTTGATGTTTCTATTGTCACTGAAATTTACCAGATAGTTAGGAAATATTTCTTTAAATAGATTATTTCAATTTTGAGAAGGATAGTTTTCTTAGGTCTATGAAATCTCTTAATTGATTTGTGATTGGTACTGAAATCTAGATTTCAATGAAGTGTTGTGATGCGTGCTACTTATATTGACATAAGTAGTATGTAACGCGAGTCGGGAATGTTATGTCTGGCAGCAGAAGATGGGGGAAGATCAAGAAAGGAAGAACGGGAATAGAAAGCAATTAGTATAGAAATGCAAGAACAATGAAGTCCGAGACAATTATTGAAAATTTTGCAAATTAGGTATTATAGTATGGGTTTTCTGTTTTACCAAGTAACTCTGTAATGTTGTGCTAAATATAGTTCGGTTGTCTTCACTTGTGTTCTCCTTCACTACAGCGTCATGGAAACACAAAAGCTGCTGGTATGAATTTATTTAACCTCATATGATTCATTTACATTCAGATTAACAGTTAGACTTTTACAAGTTGAAGTAAATAGTATTTAACATCAATTACTCATTAACTTCCTGTTTGAATACCTATTTACCAAGTCATACAATTAAGCATATGTAGCTAACACCTATAATGCATTGATTTAGTTGTGTAATTACAACTCAATGTGTAATCACGCGTCATTAATGGTTGGAAAACTCAAATTCATAGGTCATTCGCGCTTCAAGCGGCTAGGCCATCGCTCTTCATATCAAGTTTTCGTCACGAAATGATATCTGTGCTACATCTACTCAACCGCCGCCTATCTCGACACGCGATATTCCCCGTCATAGGAAGAGATTGTAACCGAGCTAGTGGCAAACAAACCATGACTCGACATTATTCTATTCAATCATTGACCATTGGACTGAAACGTGTTCGTAGATGTAGAAAACCTGAATGAGGACCACAAGATCATCTTGACCAAATGACTGAAGACTTTTGGGTAACTTAGCCCAAAACCGATCAGAGATGCACTCTATCTTCTTTTATTACGTTATGTCTTCTGTTCATTCTTTCTCAAATTTTAACTTCTATTTCCCTGATTTTTCTCACTTACACTGATATAACCATTATCTCTACGACTTTGGTATTCATCCTGATAATGTTATTTGTCTATGCTGATATGTTGTGACAATTATGCCATGCTCTACGTTGACTAACAGATTGATACCAACTAAAAAATTATTGAATATTCAAAAATTCTGAAGTTATTTTATTCTAGGTTTAAGACTATTAGAAGTTAATTTTTATTTGCTAGTCAGAATCGATTAAAATCTTTGAAAGCAAACTCAACTAATAAGATTGAATTTATGTACTCAGCTACTTGACAATATTCCTTGTTTTTAAAGACTAATGATTAGAATGATTATGCTATCCAATATTGAACACCACTACAATATAATAGTGAAAAGTTTCTTACTTTTAAAAGGTATAGTCATGTAACTTTCTAATCCATGTAATTATCATTATATTTGATTGAAAATATCTTTACTACTCACCTCCTACTCCATTACTGTAATAAACTATTATTATTTGCATTTTCAATGGTGAGTATGAACTTTTACATTTCACAAATTGCATCACTTCAAAAAGACCTCGATGAAAACCTATATGAGTTTGTAATAGTTAAGTGAGACAATCGAAGACAGTTATTACGCGTCTAGTAATTATACTTGTCGTTTGGTCTCAAAAATAAAACTGGCAAGACTCTAATTTATGGACGAACCATGAACGAATCTTAAATGACCTTGACAATTCTTAGCCAGTCAGAAGACAGTATAAAGTAAAAATATATTATAAGAAAGTAATGAATTACAGTGGATATTCTTCTTTTACATGATTTAAAAACTTGTTAAGGTTTGATAAAGGTTCAGAGATTCTGAATTCATAATGCATACTGTATAGAAACTCGTCTATAGGGTTAGGGTGGCGAGATTCTAATTTAGGGACGAGCCAAAAAGAAGCGTTTAAGTAATTTCAAGGTCACGGAGCCAAGTTCAACACGTAGTGCTAACATACGATCGGTTTACAGCGGATTTTAGAGCAGAGGTGTTTATTGAGAGGCTACAACCCTAACCTTAACCCTATGGACGAGTTTCTATACAGTATGCATTATGAATTCAGAACCTCTGAACCTTTATCAAACCTTAACAAGTTTTTAAATCATGTAAAAGAAGAATATCCACTGTAATCCATTACTTTCTTATAATATATTTTTACTTGATACTAACTGTCTTCTGATTGGCTAATAATTGAAATTGCTCAAACGCTTCTGATTGGCTCGTCCCTAAATTAGAGTCTCGCCAATATCCATTTATTATCATGCTGGATCCTGTGATCATCGTTATTATTAATATGAGACCCAGTAATTTCGATTGGTATTTTCTTTATACCTTATTATTGCTAAATTATTTCGTTACTACAGTTTGAAGGAGTTTGAGTGTAACGCATTCTGAGAACATTAATTCTTCGATACATTGGTTATATCCACATAATGTACACAAAATTGAAATTTAAGTAGAATAATAATATATTTGTACAAAGATGAATATTGATCAGAAATAGAGATCAATTATGTTCATAATCATTAATCTATCATTCTTAATTCTCTTTTATTACATTTTTCAAGGTATCAAATTGTATAAAGCTGTTTAACTGTTTGGACTATACACACGTTTGATCTTTGTGTACACGTTATTTGGATAAACACAGCTGTCCTGAAAATATTGAATATTTGATCAGCTTATGCTATTTCACATTATAATACAATTCTATCACCAAATTGAAATTTGTAATTACCTATTTGTTTTGTTTGAGTTGGCTTCTGTAACCTTGAAATCTTTAAAACGAATGAATAAATTGCACATCTCGTTTTTTTTCACATTCGGTGAATGTGTCTAATTCTTGGAATTTCACTTCTTTTATTTTTTACATCTATTAAAACGTATTAGTACATTCCATTTATTTATTAGTTTTCTTTGGGTTTTTTTTTTGCTTGTTTATTTATCTATTTATATAAATATGGAACATAATACTTAAAAATAACACATTGTTCAGTAGGATAAATGAATGATGAGGGGCTTAGTACTTTCTGTCATTTGTTTAGATTACCTCATTATTATATGTTTAGTAGCGTGGATACTACTTTCTAGGTTATTTCCTCAATTGTGTATGGTCATTGTTTGAATCATCTATACTCTTCGTAATGTATCCACACACAAAAGAAAATGGAGTATATTATAATTTTTTTTTTGGATTCTTAATATATTTTTTATTTAAATTGGATTAGGCTTTTATTATTGTTACTCTAATTGTCAATCTAATTTAATTATTACCTCATATAACTAGTTGAAATTCGTTATTTGGTTGTGTGTGTGTGTGTGTTATTTGGTCATTATTCGCACAATTATCTATCCAAATTTATTGTTTAATTGAGAATTGGAAGTCATATGTACTAGGCGGTATTCTTACATTGAAAAACAAAATAAACAAACATGTATGCATGTACAAATAGCTGAGCTTTTGTTTATATTTTTCATTTTCGTAATTAATCTCTCATTATTATCATGATGTATCCTGTTTTGATTTCATTTTATTCATCTTTTTCACGTATATTATATAGTGCCTCAGAGTAATTGCAAATATACATTGTAGAATGTTAATTACTTTCCTTAATATTCATTTTATGTAAACACTTTTTTGTTTATCAATGTTCTTTTAAAATGATGATGATACAAATACATACACATAATATATATTCTCGCATAATATGGTCTCATTTAATTAACGTTGATGTTAGTGAATTGAGTCATGAGCAGAAGTCATCATTTTCAATGGAAAATAGGTATGTCTATAGTACGGCATTTATAAGAAGCAAACTAAGTTTAATTTTCTTGAACAGATAAATCACAAATGAACTATTTATATCCTTAATGTTTTAGGCTTTTAGTAGTTGAATATGAAATGTAGTTCATTGTAAAATCGAGTTATATAGCTTTATCTTGATTATGGATGTTGAATTAGTAGTCTTTATTTAATATTTAGAGCAATAAAATTTTATTTCATTGGAGTCCAATATCAACACTTTCTTATATTAGACAATAATGATATCTGACTATTTAAACCAATGACTAACAAAATTCACACGGAAATGATTCCAATTGAACATTTTGTCCATTGTAATAATGATATAAACTCTGGTTGTAGATCTTCTAGGGTTACTGCCGGTCCCAAGCCCGGGTAAAAGGAGGAGGGTTGGGCATGGGGTCCGCAACCCGCAGAAAACAACATTGCCTAGGAAGCGTTAGCCAGAAAAAAAACTAATTAAACCATCTATACTCTAGCCTGGGAATCGAAGGGTCTTCATTTAAAAGACGCCTCACGATGAAAGCCAAAATTCTTCGGAAATCATGAGGCCGACACCCGTCCAAACAACTAGAGTAGCAATTAGTATCGGTACATGAAACCTCCAGACAATGCGGGAGACTGAAAGGACCAATCGAATAGCAACGGAAATGGGTAGATTCAACTTGGCGGTTCTCAGATTCAGTGAAACGCACGGAACCTAGACTGGACAGCAAATTTTAGATTCGAAAGAGATTCTGTTGTACTCTGGTCATGAAGAAAAAAATGCTTGACACATACAGAGAGTCGCTCTGAAGCACAAAAAGCACTCATAGGATGAGAATCTCGTGGATCGAAGATCATAAAAGCATCCTTCAAAACAAAGAAGGATGGAATCACAATGAATGTTATGCGGTGTTATACACCCGTCAACGATAGCAATGAAAGCGATAAAGATCAATTTTATTAGAAGATCCATTCGATCGTAGAGAAGTGCCGAGGAAAGGGCCTGACCATCCTGATGGGAGACCTAAACATCAAATATGGAATGGAAAATACCTTCTATGAAGATATCACGAGCCGACACGGACTGTCCGGGAGAAACATACGAGAATGGCGAGGGATTTTCAAATTTATATGCATAAACGAATTGGTTATAGGCGGCACAACATTCCGACACAAACGCACACACAAATCTATATAAGTCTCATTGGACCACACCACCGAGAACCAGATAGATCACATTTGCATCACTAGAAAATTCAGGTTGATGGAAGAAGTGAGAACTAAGAGAGGGACTGACATAGTTTCAGATCACAACCTGATGGTTGCCAAGATGAAACTGAAGCTAAAGAAACACTGGACAGCTGGGTAAGCAGCATTACAGAGGTTCAATATAGCCCTCCTTCGAGATACTGGAAAACTCGATGAATTCAAGATAACTCTCAACAACAGGTTCCAAGCCTTACAAGATCTACTAAAGGATGAAGAAACTACTACTAAGGACAACTAGAAAGAGATCGAAGAAGCACGAGCTTCAACGTGTCAGGAGGTTCTGAGCCGCAAGAAGCATCGTCATAAGGGATGGATCTCTATGGAAACCCTAGACATGATTCAAGAAAGGAAGTGTTCAATGGTATAGGAGTAGGTTGGAAGAAAGATAGGGGCAGCCAGACCAAAACATGGCACAAGTCCATGAAATCACTGACAAGTGGACTGAGGTATGTTGGTAGGTGTAGACTACCTGGTTAGGGATTGCGAGATGAAAGAAACCGATGGTTAGAGACGCTGAATGACATGGCTCAAAATTGTTCACAATGGAACCCACTGTTTGTGTCCTCCCAAATTCTAATCTTCTGAACTCTTCATGTCCCTTTCTTGTTTCTTTTTCCAAATTTATCTCACTGGATTATACTCCTTGAATAACATCTTTAAACCCTGATCTTTTGGATTACTGCTTATACTTTTACTACCTCTACCACTATGGGATTTGAGTCGGCAACTGCATCTCTGCGCTAATGTGGTGTGGCAACTCGGACCAATGTACGTACGTACGTACGAAGTTCTACGTTGTTACTCACTGACTGCTCCAGGATAAAGAAGGCAAGCTAATCACTGAAATTCAATAACAGAGGAACAGATGGATGGAACACTTCGAGGAACCCTCAAATAGACCAACTCCGTTGAATCCACCTGATATCGAAGTAGCACACCCACAGAGCTTCCTATAGATATCACCGCATCAACGATCGAAGAAATCATGATGGCCATCAGACAAATTAAGAGTGGGAAGGCAGCAGGACCTGACAATATACCAGATGAAGCGCTGAGGTCAGACATAGAAGTAACTGCAAACATGCCCCACGTTCTATTCAGGAAGATTTTGGTGGAAGAACAAGTGCCGACAGATTGGAAAGAAGGACACTTCATCAACATACCAAAGAAAGGAGATCTGAGTAAGTGTGAGAACTCAACTACAGAGGCATCACACTACTATCGGTACCAGGAAGTTTCCAACAGTGTTGCTGAACCAGATGAAAGATTCAGTAGGCGTCCAGCTTCGAGATCAGCAGACTGAATTCAGTGCGGACTGGTTATGTACAGACTATATCGCGACATTAGAGATCATCGTTGAACAATCAGTTGGATGGGACTTATGATTATACATCAACTTCTTTAACTAGGAGAAGGCGTCTGACAGTGTGGATAGAACATTATGAAACTTCTTTGACACCATGAAGTACCTGAGAAAGCCGTCATTGTCATACAGAATTAATAAAATGCACTACTCTGCATAGTCGTGTTGAGAACTAATACAACCATCATCAAAATGGTACAAATAGTTATAAAAAATTGTCTACGAAAGACACTCAATATCCGTTGGCCGGAAACCATCAGCAACAACCTACTGTGGGAGAGAACAAATCAGCTTCCAGCTGAAGAGGAGATTAGTAAAAGACTTTGGAGGTGGATAGGACATACATTACGGAAATCACCAAGCTCTATCACGAGGCAAGCTTTAGCTTGGAATCCTGAAGGGAAACGGAAAAGAGGAAGATCGAAGAACACATTACGTCAAGAATCGGAAGTAGGCATGAAACTCCGCCTGTAGCTCTTCTAGAGTTACTGCCGGTCCCAAGCCCGGGTAAAGGAGTAGGGTTGGGCATAGGGTTAACTCTCTAAAGAAAAGCTAACCAGAAGAAAAATAATGAGAAAGATGAATAGCAACTGGAAATAATTGTCCAAAACAGAGTTCGATAGACGATGCTTGTGGGCGACCTATACTCCCCCAAGTGGGATAACAGGCGTGAGTAATAAAGTAATAACGATATATTTGGACTCGATAACTAAAACTTAATGAAGAAGTCATTAGAAGCAATTGTTCTTTCTGATGTTTTTCGCTCATGCATGATTATTTAAGTATGATTTTTTTATAATTCATCGACGGAGAAAGTATCTTTCGAAGACATCAAACTATTTAATGGTTTTTTAATAAATTGACATTCTGTTGAAAAGTAAGCAATGAGTGTACAGAACAACTTCAGAAGTAAAACTTCAGTTATTAGATTCATCTTGCCTTTCCTCTTCATGGACTTTAGCTGCAGCATTTGCACGTAAAACATCACCAGGGTTAGGGTATGGACGTTGTTGAAATAATGGTCCCGATGCAGTGCTGTCTACACCTGTCTTAGCCGATGGTGCTCCAGTAACCCCTTCTAAGCCTGAACTCCATGTTCCACGTGGTATATCACCATAAGACGCTGGATCCATTGGGTCTAAGGGCCCGAGAGTTGCTGCACGACCTTCAAGGAAGCATAAGAAAAAGTAATTAAATATGACAGAAAACTAGGTCAGAAAACCTCGACACTTCTGCGCTAAAGTAGTGACGATCTACAGTTTCGATTAGACATTTTATAACGAAACTTTAGTCAAACTGCATGGATTGAAGACTTTGCAACTCGGTAAGAAAATTTGAACTAAATTATAAATATTAGTGAATGCATTTAAATTAATAAAGAATAAGCTATTACACTAGACCTTAATGTTTTAAATGTGTATATGTACCTCAAATAGGGATTGCTATACACAAGCAAAGGCAGTAAAAATTATCAAGGCAATGAATTAAAAACTATATTGTCGACGCAGTCCAAAGATAGAAAATAGTTCTAGTGCTACTTTGACCGATTAGGAAGATCTAATTAGAATCTCAAATTGTAGATTAAGACTAGTTCGAAAAGCTCAGTCAGGAAATTTGCACCCTACACGAATTAGATCAACAATCAGCGACTATAGGTTGATTATACGTTCCGGCCTGGCCATCACTAGCTTCTCAACTTCTATGTTAGTCAGATGAATTATTGTTAAACCCCCCCCTGAACACTAATGGGACGCTTGACTTCCTAGGACGAATAACAACGATACTGTAATATATAGGATTGACATGCAATATTATAAAACGTACCCGGAGACTAATCTACCTCACGTCCACTCAGCTCAGACTAAGAACATGTTATCAGCCTAACACATATTAATATGAAAAATACATGTGATAGGAAAAATATACATTACAAGTCGCACATGTTTGACCATCTACCCATCTTTCCGTGAGGTCAGCTAATTGCCTTTAAGTTCCACCTACACAAAACCGGTATAAGACGTCAATGTCGCAAATTGCTAAGGATATGTAACACATTCGAATCATGTTAGTCGGCAAAGGTTTACAATCTCATATATAGCCAGTACTCTTTGCTTGCTCCAATATTAATAACTCTGTAAGGTCAACATACTCAAGTAATGCTTTGAATTCATCTTGTTTTTTTCTAAGGTTACAACAATAAATACATATTAGTGTAGAGCCTTGAAGAAAAACTAATCGAAAAGGAATGCTTTTTCGCTCTCTAACAAATGTCCAATTGGAAATTT